ATTCATAAACGCGAATGACGTCGTAGATTAACAAGTTCAAAGTTTGTCTAGCTATATTTAACTAAAATCACGTATCAAATCACAGTTTTACATTTGTGGCATACTTTTTTATAAAAATTCCTCTAACGAGTGGAAAATTCCTTCTCGCTTTTGTATCGATCGATCACAAAGTTAAGTCAGCATACGTTTGAACAGTTTTATGTTTGAACAAAAAAATGTTCGAAGAAAGAGAATTAAAATGCTGATTTATTAAAAGCACGGCATATGTATATATATATATATATATATATGTATATATAAAGAAATAATGTTGATGGAACATTCAGATTAATTCTACGATTTTTAAAAATATCTTAAAAACTTAAATTTATAAAATTAATAAAAAAAATATATCGGAAATGTTTAAAATGCAGAAATATTTAAATTTCAAGAATCGTGATATGTGAGCATCGTATAACCGCGGGCACAACGAACAGTAAGACATTTTTGACGAGGCAATAACGTCGCTGTAACCATCACGGTCATCTACGGTTTATCGTGAAAAATATATACTCGATTACGAAGGATCTCAATTGTGGATCCTTGCTACTTCTTTAGATATCGTGACACGAAAGTCGCAAGGCTTTTTCCACCTATAGCGGAAGCAGTTGTCTTGATTAACAATTCTGTCGAATCTCAATCTGTTCCGCCGATCGTATCGGTGCTCGTAAGCGAAACATCTCATTAAAAAGGAAACACTGAAACACTAAGAGCGATTCAAATGCAAGATACATCTATCAATACATCGATCAAAAATCACATCAATAAATATTCAGTTACAAATCGAAACAGTGCTTTCAATAATTTTGAATCAAGTTACACATAGAATACGATAACATTTTAAAAATAAATTTGCGCTGCTCGTCTACGAGCTTTTTTTAAATTCTGTATGGTAAATACTGCGGCGAAGAATCTCTTCCATTCTGACAAATGTCGAACATCTAGGTAAGTAGATACTTACTTCCTTGGTCCATAGAGATGAAATTTCGTTAACAATGCCTAACTTCCATTCCACGTGGAAGTTTGTGTCCTTGAACATGACTCATACGTAATTGCCTCGTAGCCATTCCACCACCACAATGACTGCTCCAATCGGTGGTCGATACTTGAGTTCGATAAAATTTGGAGGAAGTCTTGTTGAAAATTGGCAATAACTCGTTGGCTTCGTTCGACAAAGCCTGACACGTTTAAGAATAAAATAAATGAATAAAGAACACACTTGTACACTAGAGTGTATGAAAGTGAGTTATTATCGCATGCCATCGTTTTACCTTTAGATATACGATCGCATCGGTACCGAAACCATCGCAACTTTGAAGAACGAGATCACCGTGGAAATATCTGGCGTATAATCGAGATACTGGAAGACCATAACCGTATCCGGCAAGTGGAACTGTATGAGCATCGGTTTTGGTTGGCCTAGGTGCCGTGCTATACATGTACTTAAACAAATGGTCCATTTGCGAGCGAGGAATACCGCCACCTTTATCGGACATCTGGAAAAATAGGACAAAATTAATCGAAGTGCAAAGTTATCGCGCTATAAATCAAACGAGTATTGATTCCTAATGTTTTAAAAATATTCCAACTGATATAATCTGATCGCGAGCATGTTCCTTATCGAATATCTGATGCACCGATATTGAATATCAATGTTGGCGAAACTTAAGATACAATTTCCACGCAACAAACGTTTATTGATAAATTCGATCGTTCATAATTCACTCATCAATGCTTCGATAGTTTCAAATAATCGTTTTCAAAGTCGATGCACGATTTGTAAATTACCTTAACGCATATATCTTCTTTTCCACGCGACACGATCACTTCTATGGCTGGATATTCCCCGTTGGAACTATGGTGTTCCATAACCGCTCGCATACTATTTTTGAAAAGTTCGAACAGCATGTGGAACAAATGGCTCGGTACGTAAACTATTCTAATTTGGCTACATCGATCGTATTCTGAAAAGAATCAGATTTAATTACAATCAGATAATGATCTTCTTCTTTTTCTTTATCGTTTTTTATATATTTTTTTTATAATATCATTCTTTATATATATATTTTTTTTATCGTAAAGAATACACAACAAATTGCCACGATGAAAACTTTTTGTTATTACCAATGATTCGACAAATTCTCTAGATATGTAAATATATATTATCTTTCATCATCAACGAGATTCAAAGGTTTCACGATGGCAACTTTATACTATACCTATTAGAGAAAATTTGGTCATGTAACTACTTACTAGTATATATTACTCTAGTACAATCAACATTTTTCAAACTTGCCATTATGTTGCTGGACTATCAATTCCGGACTAGCCATATAATATTGATCACACAGTAATCTCGCTTTCTCATACGCGTCTTTCACAACGCTGCTTATCTCACAGGATGGATCTATGGATCCCACATGTCTACTGTGTCCATTTAATTCGCTACCGAACAAAAGAGCTGCAGCAAAGATAATTTTCTTTTTTAATTAACTACCTTAATTTCATTTAATCCAAGAGCAAGTATTAAAACGCGACAAAAATAGGAACTTACTATGTTGATTGATCAACATACGAATGGAAATTCGAGACATGAGAAATCTGTCCAAGAAATATTGAATATTGTTTTCCGTCTGGACATCGACATCGTGGGATTCTTTCAATTCTAAAACACCCTGCGCCATCGTTTCGACGATGTCCTTATGCCTGTTCCTAATTTTCACCAATGTCTGACAGAATCTGAAAAAGAAGACAATGACAACTTTGGTTGAAAACTCGAAGGTAAAAATCAATATTTTCTATCAGGCTAAGAGATCGTTTCTAACGTTGGAGGACTCACTTGTCTAGAGTGCTATCGTTGACTTCAACCTTCTCGAACTGCATGATATCCTCGAACGAAGTGGCGTATAAATTATTAACTATACCCACGCTAGGCATTTTCAATAAATTCTCCGGCAATAGATGGATCTCTTTCATAATGTTGGCCAATCGGACCGGCAATTCCTTCCTTAAGAATATAAAGGATTTCCTCTCACAGGCACTTAGGCCTGAAACATTCAACATTTTCCTTAATCGCATTTCACTTATATATTTGTTTGCGTTACAATAGATAAACTGATCACGAATTTAAAGAGAGAGAGAGAGAGAGCGAATGATCTTATCACGGCAATTTAAAATCATTATCAAACAAAGCTTTTCATAAGTAAGTTGTTTTGAAGAATGTAAAAGAATGGAGGAACGATGAACTTTGTAAATAGTGCATTGTCGCGTAAACTCGATTCTTGCTTTGCAAGAAAAAAAGAATATTTTTTTTTTTTTTTGAAAATGTACCTATGTTGCAACATATTTCGGATCTCCTTTGAATCAAGAATTATCCATTTACTTTTCCAACGAGGGAAAAACTCATCGACTTTTCAAAGCATTAGAAATCAATGATTAGAATGTATCGAGACATTAGGAAAAAGAATTTTATCTTAATATCGGATTTGTGAAATCGTAAGTAGGTCATATATGAATCACACTGTATTTATATATTCGCACATATGCTTTTGTTTCTGCTAATCTCTCTAGAAAATACGATGGCATAGGCACTATGGTTAGATTAATATATCGTTTTTATCATTCCTCTCGGATAACTCTGTTTACGTTGACCTCATATCAAAGTGATACAACAGTGTCATTTTTGACATGCTAATCGGATAATACTCTTTTAAAATTTAACCATCGATCGATTTATCATCGACGTCTTTGTGGAAAACAATCGTGTTGCTTGCATTGCACGCGAGAGTAACTTTTTTTTTAGTTGTCTCGATTTAGAAGAGGGTTGGTTTATTGATTGTTTTTAACTCGATTAACTTATTGCGTCGACTCTATAGAACGTTTATTCTCAGTACTAATATATTTAGATAATAATGGTATTTCGTCAATCACGTTATTAATCAAATTAATCTGAATTTTTTTTTTTTTTTTTTTTTTT